GAGATCAGTATTATTTGCTTAGTTCTTGTGTGGGGTTTTCACACCATCCTTCAAAACAGTTGGACCTGGCCACTGGTGGAGTTTGGATTCCGGTTAATTGACTTGCTGGATGTTTCTGCCTTCTTGTGTTTGACAGATGTGGTGATAGATTTTGATCTGGTTTACTTTCTTCTGCTGATATTTCCTCTCAATGTGGCTTTTGTTTGAGTTGAATTGGCATCAAAATAAATGGATGTGTTTGCAAAGAGTGTTTTTGTTCTGGTGTTTCTTTCACCAGACAGGGCAAAATCAGCTGGAAGTCCTGCTTTTCTTGGAAAAGCAGTGTGAAAAAGCTGGAAGTAAGTCTTTTGGCAAGTGATAACACATAAATAGCTTTTCTGAATACCTATTAAATGCACTGTTGTATTGCTATTATCCAGTAGAGCCAGTAATTGGTTTATTATGATTTTGGACCACTGGTTTGTTTTTAACATGGATGAGTTGGCTGTCACATTAAACTGAACTACACTTTAATGTCTGTGCCATGTACAAGTGATACAGCTGTACCAGTAATTCCCAGAGTTCACAAGTTTAATATATTCTGAAAAGAAAAAAGGTATTTTCTATATTTCCTTTTCACGCTTCATGGTATCTGGAGCTGGAGGCATGGAAAGGCTCAGCAGAGCCTTTTCCTTCTTTCATTAATTATTCAGCTGTTGAAAAACTCTGTTATTTCCTTCCAAAAAAGATATTCTGGAAGATTTAGAGTTGTGGTTTTAAGATACTATGGGAATGACCTGCCTTGGCCTGCCTTAGTTGTTACTATAGAGGGTGTGCTTAGCTGGAGGAAAAAGGGTTAGGGCATCACTTCTACCTGCTAAATCTTCACACAGAAGAGGTTATCCAACATGTAAATCTGTCAGTACCTAAGCTGGGTGTATCTCTGTCACCTGCATCTCCAGGTTAGTGAGTTTCTTTGAGAAACAACTAATTGGGAGGACTAAGGTCCCTGAGACCTCTCTCTAGCTCCCTTATCAGGCTACATCAGGTCAGAGCTCTTTTAACCTTCCAAGTGACTAATGCAGAAAAGATGATGATTTGCAGAGGTAGTTACTAAACCAGTACCTCCTCTACACTGAAAAATTATATGCTTCAGGTGGTGTAATGTGACATAGCCAGTGGAAAGGGAAAATGGATCATTTCTAACTGAGTGTTTCTGTTACCTCTGTGGTGGTGTGCTGAGATAAAGTGAGAACAGTTCAGCTAAACAGGGTGAAAAGTAATTTACCTGATTCATGTTTCCTCCCTAGTTGTGATGGAGAAACTAGAGGGATGTGAGCATTTCAGTGGACTGAGCTGTCATTCTCTGGAATTCTCACTGATTTTGATATCTATGATGCTGTGAGAACTGCACATGCAGTTGGATCCAAAAGGAGCCAAAGCAAGCTGCTTATTGAAGTGAGAAATGATACATATTCTAACCCTTAAGCCAGTGCTAAAAGGCAGAAATTAGAAAGCATTGATATACAGCTTAGTACAAATAAATGCTTTATTGAGGCTTTATGTCAAATGCCACTGTGATTTCTTTTCTTAATTGCGCTTGTTCTAGGCGTAGTTATTTAAAGGTGGAAAGTTGAGTATGACCAAACTTTGTTAACATCGAAAGTCCAAGAGGTAGCTTTTGTACAGCTAACCGTGCAGCTTGCATTTTCCTAAGCCCTCCAGCTCCCTCTTACGGCAGTTTACAGCCCGGGTTCTGTTCACGACGCGCCTCAAAATCAAGCTTTCCAAGGAATGTTCTTTCTGCCCTCTCGTGGCCACAGGTCAGTCCTGCAGTTTTGCAACGACGGGGATTTCAGGTCTGCATTGCGTTTTGGTAATCTCGGATGTCTTGCTTATACTTTAGAGAACACACATAAAATTGTGTATCTCTGAGGCAGTTTTTTCTGTATACAGTGCCCTTATGTATATCTTTCATTTGAGTACAGCAGTTGGCTATTTGGATTGTCAAATTAGCTACACACAATTTTCTTAGTTTTACATCATAACCCAGAATATGAAGATGTGACTCGCATGTTCAAAGAACCAAGTAAGACTCGTTTCTTTCCTAGCAACTAAGGTAATTTTAGTTCAATGGTCTGTGCTTCACTTTTGGCCTGCTTACATGAAAAATGCTGCATAATTGCAGGTGACAGCTTCTTTATGCTTTCACTGATTCTTTGTTTTACTTGTAAGTTAAATTGCACTCAGTTTCCATGTCATGTCAATCAATCAGTAAATACATTGATTGATTTAGATTTATCCCAGTCTGAGGTCAGGATCAGGCCACACTGCCTGTTTATATTTTACAAGGATCCTATACAGTTTAATTATCCCTTGTATGAATAATGGTTGTATCATTTCAGTTAAGACTGCTGCTTATCACATTTTTCTGACAAGTACACAGAGCCAGCGTAGGTAATGCATGCAAGTACAGTGATGTCTCTAGTGCTTGTTAGCTGGTGAGGATCTGAACAAGAGATTCTGTAGCAGGCGTGTGAGAGCATATAATGCAGTAATGATTTAAGAAAGAAATCATACAAAACAAGAATAGATTATTCACAGTCAAGGTAGTACTAATAAAAGAGAATATTTTGCTATTATACATTGGTAAATGGAAAAAGAAAGCCATTACTTTATACATTACCTGCTAACTTTCGCCTATGTGCCCCTTTCACCGTCAGCCCAAGTTACCATCTCCTCATCTCTGTGCTTTCTTGGGTAAGTAGGAAAACCCCCACTGCACAGGCACAGCCTGCGCTGCTGTTGTGCTAGTGCCAAACCGTGCACCATCTGCGCTTAGCAGGGGAAGGAAGTAAGACCAGGAAGAGTTTACCACTAGTTGTACATTTGAGATGGGGTGGGCTCTGCAATCCTCCAGGCCACCCCAGGGATTCATAAATTCATATGCAGTGTAAATGTGTGCAAGAATACATTTTTAAGGAAATGTCTTGAAATACAGAACTTTGAGAAGCGTATGGCAGTGGTTGAGCTGGCACAGGAAGTACCTTCTGAAGCTGGTCTCCTCTTTTCACTTCCCTGCTCTTTCCACACAGGACTGATACTTCAAGAGCAATTAAGAATCCCTTGCATTCACACTTCTTTCAAGATCCCATAAGCCATATGTGATCCTAGTATAACTATACTATAGGTACACTGGTCTACCTTCACTGGTATTTAATTTCTTCACAGGTATTTAAATTAAACTTGAAACTTCTCTTTCATAGCTGCCAAAAGAAATTAGCTGATGCATTAGGCGCTACCGTTTCATTTTAGATGCCTCTTGAGAGAGAGGCAAACTTGCAGCTCTTAGAATTGATGATGGTCTCTAAGGGCAAGTAGGTACTTAGTAAAAAAGGTAACCACACTTAAAGACAGGCTAAGCATCCAACATATGGTTCTATTTTTTCCTTGAGCCTGTCTCTTCAATAGCAGGGTTCAAAGGAAGTTTGTCTCTACTCTTTTAGAAATCAATTCTTCGTATGGGTCATATAGTATAGTTAACTAAAAACTTTTATTACCCCAAGATGAAGATGTATTTTATGTACCCACAGAATTGAGCAGCTAAAAGAAGCATCTGATCTTAAGAAGTTCCCCTCTGTTCTCCTTCACTAATTCATTAAACGAGTCAGCTGAGCTCTGCTGGGAATGAAGAGCACATGGGATCATCAGACCTTACTGCCTTTGTTCAGCATTGTACTGGGTTTGCATGGCAAGGTTTTAGTCTGCAGGCTGCAGAGGTGGTTTCTGTGAGAAGCCGCTAGAAGCTCCCTCTACATTCAATAGAGCCAATGTCTGCCGGCTCCTAGATGGACTCAACTGCTGGCCAAGGCCGAGCCCAACAGCAACAGTGCTAGTGCCTCTGGGATAACATAGTCAAGGTTGGGAGGGAAAGAAAACTGCAATTTCAGCCAGAGAGAGGACTGAAAATATGTGAGAGAAAGAACCCTGCAGACACCAAGGTCACTGAAGAAGGGGGTCAAGAGATGCTCCAGGTGCCAGAGCAGAGATTCCCTGGCAGCCTGTGGTGCAGCCCATGGCGAAGCTTGTGCCTATAGTTCTCAATATGTTGCAAGAGCAAAGTATCTGGATGTCATACTAAGGACAAAGAACATGGTAATTGATTAAGTGAGGTAGAAGTCAATTGTTATGAGCATCAGAGACAAGATAAAGACATACAGTGCAAAGCTCCAAAACCAGAACAGGGGTATCAAATATAACAAAATAGGGGAAAAGAGCTAAGTGGTCAGTGAGTTCCAGAAGATGGAAAGAGTTAAAGCACAGATTTTTCTCATCCATATTTTGTGCTACTAAAGATCTGAGTGGCATTAGCTGAAGCCATTCTACACCTTGTGTCATCAGAAAAGCAGCACAAGTGTGAATTAGGTATCTACGGGCTTCCATGCATTTGTGCTAGATATATTTTAGTGGGTGTCACTAATGAAAACATTTCCAGTTCCTCATAATGCGTACTCTTCAAGAGGGGGCAATTTTTCAAATGTCTTGTTTAGGGTTTGGAAGTTTCTAGTGGCCTGTGATGCCCAAGGCTAGCCCAGTTGTCATCTTTTGCAGAAAATGCAAAAGGTGGTTAAAAAAGCAGTTGAAATGAATCTAAGACTGAGAGATTTTAAATGCCAGATGCCCAAGTCTTTGGCTCCTTCTGTGAGTGTCTTTTTACATTCCACTAAATCTGTCCAAATGATATATTGAAATCAACAGCATGATGAGCTCTCGGACTTATAAATTAATCAGTGGGTTGTCAGTGTCCTCTCTATAAGCTTAAGTCAGAATCTAAAATAAGCCTGGTGTTGTTTTTGCATGAAGGCTTTAATACCAGACATAAATATTACATGGATGACAAGGAAGGCTGGGAGCTCCTGAACCCTTCTAGAATTCATGCTGGTAAGCCTCGATAGTCTGTCACTTGATTTACGTGAGTCCTTTCCTTGCTTTTTCCCAATTCATGAATAGTATCTGTATACGGATAGTAAATAATCTGGTGAGTAACAGCTGTAGCAATGTATGTTGCCTGTCGTGCCCCTTCTCCTCCCATCGCACTATGCAGTGATTGTTTTCTTGGCTCACCCACTCTCAAGCCAAACAGAAATTTTGCAGAGCATAGCATAATTCCTCCTTTATGTACTTTGCACCTAGCTCTTCCTCTGCTGAGGGAAAATAAATCTACAGCCATCTCCTCTATCTGTGCTGTGGAGCTTGCAATAAGAGGGCAACCTAATTTTACCTGCTGCTGGGCCAGTGTTTGGGCTTCTGCTTTCCTCCCATAGTAGCCATCATTAATGCCAATTGATATGTACCCTTTTCCTGTTGCTAGGTGATCTGTTCCTTGCAAAAGCAGTTTCTATTGCTGCTCAGGCATTCTCACAAATCTTGTTTGCTCTTGGGTCGCATGATGTGCAATGCAGTGTGGTTTGCAGAACCAGAACACAACACAAAGTTCAGGGCACCTCCTTCTGCTGTTCGTTTGACTGTAAATCACTAAAAGATCCCAGTTTTCCTGACTAAAGAAAGAATGACATCCTGTTCTGGTGGCAGGCAGTGACAAGATTTCTACTTCATAGGCTGGGTCTTCAACTTTCCCTTCCACAAATTGTTGACCAGTGTCCTTCATCACGAACTTGGCTGCAGTACCCAAGTAACACTGCAAACCTGGTCTTTCACCAGCACTTGTTAGGTAGTTTTGTGAGACTGAGAAGCCCAAAGACTGGTTTTGGACTCTTTCTTACTTTCAAAATGTACGATCTCATTGTTTATAATCTGTTTAGGTGGCCCTAGCTCTTTGATATTTCAAGTTTGAGTAGAGGGACTAGATATTTTCAAGAGTGTGTTCTTACTACTTTGGGTTGAATTAGATTTCCCCAGCCACAGGCTGAATAGTGTTGTTTCAAGTAGCCTCATTAAGTTTGTAGAAGAACAGCACCATAGGCTCTGTCCCAAGTATAAATTTATCTGATAAAAAATGATCAGTTTGATTAGGATTTTTTCCAGGTTCTTCTAAAGATATGTGGAATGTAAAGATATCTGATTACTGGTTATTCAGCATAAAAGACTAAGACAAGAGACAGAAGAAGCAATAAATTAAACTCTCAGATACCCAAACCCCAAGGAAGAAGAGATAACAAGACAGTAACAAAGAGCAGAAGTTTTAGATCACTGATTGATGGGATCTTTAAGGAACCACTCAATGCCTTGAGGAGGTTCAGCCAGAGCTCTGTAACTGGTTATCATGAATCTCATAGGAAACAGCAAACTTACAATGGGATATCTAAAAGGCCTTGCAGGATCACATAAGATTTATTATGGGATGTTTCAAGAGATGTGGGAAAGTGCTGGGTTTATTTTGGGATGTTTAGGGAAAAGCCAAAACCAGTCAAATGCAGGGATTAAGATACATGGGAGAGGAGCAAGTATGGGAAAATGGAGAAGAGAGGGGATAAAAGAGGTCAGCTGCATGCAGTCAAGCTGCTGTCATTTTTTTGTCAGGCTATGCCCTATGCCTGATCATCACAGGATGTCTTGTCTTCTTGTTAAACTCGATAATTGAATGTTTTCCTGTGTGAGTATGCTCTCTGTTCTGCATGCACACATGTGCATGATCTGCTAGCTGATTTCAAGCCAGGTTAGCTGGTGAGTAGAGTGGTCTGACTGCCAGCAGCTGGAGATACAGAACAAGGGTTGAAGAATCCTGCAAGCCTGAGGGCTAGCAACTGGAGAGATGAGTTGCCTGGATATCAGCTCTTCAACAGACTGAATATCTAACAGCTGCTGATGAAGGGACCCATTTGTGTGTGTGATTCTAATATGAATTTAAAGCTGGACTAGGTGGTGAGCAGGATGAGAGGTGGAGGAGCCAGCTACCAGGAAGAACATAGGTCAGGACAGTGGAGTGATCAAGGGTCTGAAAGCCAGATGCTAAAGAGATCACAGATATGGAAGAGCTACTGAAGGGACCTGTTTGCCTTGTTTGGGTGGGAGATCTACTAGCAACCTTCAGTTTTATTAACCTATGAGTAATAAAGGGATCAGCCCATTGTGTGTTTATGTCGGTCTTGTTGGTATATAATTAGAGACTGTAATGATGCAGCTCTGTTGTTGATTGGTAATCAGTTGTGACTGTCAAGGTGTAACTCTCAAGTACATACATACACGTTTGTACATGTGGTCTGGTTTTGGGGGGAATGCCTATTTCCACCATTGGCCAGACATGGTGTAAAAGTAATGCAGCATCTGAGGATCAGAAGAAAGAATCCCTGAGATCCTGTAGTCTACTAGATTTGGCTTCCCTGTAACAAGTACAAATTCAGCTTCTCTTCAAAGCTTACTGAAAACTCAGTTTTGGAGAAAGCCTGAACACGTGATATTCCATTTAGAAGAGAATGGTTTTGATAGGAAGTATGAAATAGAAGTACAGGCTTAAATGGAGTAGTCCCTTCTGTATGTGTGCGTGTCGTTCACATTGACAGAGAAAGTGGGAGACCCACAGGGCAGATCTTGTAGAGCATTAGGGAGGGTGTTATCTCAGATATAAAGCCCAAGATCATTACATTACAATGTATGTTACTTTAGTTAGATGTTATTCCTCAGTGGGGTCCAAGATAGTAGGTTTTATTTGTGACAAATTCCTGACAAGTTACCTTTCAGATTTATGTCTAACATGACTCAAACAACAGGAAAAGTGCTTTCTCTACATTTTACTTGTTTTTTCTTTAGCTGCATATGACACAAAGAGTACCAGTGGTTTTGATCCTGCTCCTGTTTGTTATTCATATTGTAGACTTCATTTTATTTGTACCATGCTGCTTTATTCATACTATGCTTCTTTTAATTTTGCTTAAAATGCTTTCAGTTATACAGCCATTGTTCTGAAATTAGGTTTTACAACCAACAGGGTATAAGTCACACAGAAGTAAACAGGATTTATACTACACTGCCACTGAAGTAAACTGCTACAACAGTCACTACAATTGTCATTGCCTTATATATCAAGGGTTTGTACAGAATTATTCATAACATGAAGTCAGGTTTGCATTTCAGTTCTTATAGGTTCCTTTTCATGACCTTTAGTTTTGAAAACACATTGCAGATTTTCAGAGTCTTTCAGGTTCTGTCTTCATTATTTCATTCCAGTATTACCGTAACTGTTAGAACTCATATCCCTAAAAATATCAGACAAATAAAACAAAATCTGTTACAATCAGGTGAGGCATTGAGAAAGAAATTATAGGAATCAAATTAAACAGGAAAGAACCTTCCTTTGAATATATCAGTTACCTTTCCTGGCCTGAACTTCTATGTCATGCATGCAGCAGATACACATCGGGGTAGCCAGCAGATACTCAGTTACAAGGCAAATGAAGTTTGTATAAAGCAGCAGATACGATATGAAGGACTGATATTGAGGAGCTGCTTTAAATTATTCCCAGTAACAGGCAAGAAATACTTTTTCCCTATCCTAAAAAAATTTCTGAGATGTCAAAACAAATTTTTCATCTTAATTTGGAAAAATCAAAATCTTAAACTTTGCCTCAGTAAGGGAGTCTGAAGGAAGAAAACCAAAAGTTTGCATGAGAACTGCCATCATTTTCAAAATGCTGCAATTCAGCTTGGAATGTTGTCCTTTTTTTTTTAACTCTAATTTGCACAAATTTAGAAAATAGGAGGGTAATTTTATTTGGTCACTTTATCATGCTGAAATGAGATATTTTAATAATCCTGAACCTTTTTCACCAAAGCTTTAAACTTTTCAAAGTAAAAACTGATCTAAAAAAGTGGTTTTAAACCTAATCTTGTCATATGAACATTTGCAGCTTTGGCTATTTGGCACCTTCTCATTAGAAAAGATTTCATAAAGAGACTCTCTACTAGTACTTGTGATGATGCCTTTTGGTTTGATGAACTGCAAACTGGACTCATCAAAATGTTTAGGGAATATCCTTTGAGAAAATCTGGTTGTATTTGATCATCACTAACCTATGTTTTAATATGCATTTTAATATATGGCTTGAACACTTGTATAGTATTACCTGGTCCAGATTCCTGAACTTCTTGAGGCAGATTGACAGACAGTGACTTCCCAAATCTCTGTGGAAAATTTAGAAGTGACTGACTGGAACTTTTAATAAGTGGAGACCTCCCAGGCCTGTGTGATACCTCTGGAGCATGACCAGGTATGTTACCTCCAAAAGCTCTCCCAAATCTCAGAGGCAAATTAGCAATTGGTTTAATGCTTCTTTCTTCTGGATAACCTCTTCCAAACCTAAGAGGTAAATTAGCAGCTGAATTTGGCATCTTGTTTATGGTAGAAGGGTTCATTTTAAGGATATTTTTCGATCCCCAGTCTTGCATTTCTTCAAAATTGAGACTCCTCTCCTTTTCTTCCAAGATATCTTTAATCTAAATAAAAATAATTAAATAAAGAATACTATCATTTTATAGGGCATTACTCCAGCTACCAATCACACAAAGTATTCATTTTCATATCTTCTTAGAAAGCTGATAGGTAACACTCTCTTTTGGGTATCTAATGCTTTTTAGATGTATTTGCTAAACTCCATTGTAATGTGGAGTACTTCATATGCAGACATTGTCCTGCTTACCTTTCCAGTACACTGACTCAAGAGTGCATTTCCACATCAGGATCTGTAACTGTTCAAATGGTGTCAGTTGGAAATATTTCTGGGCATAGGTGTTGGTACCTATACCATCAGTTAAGTGTAGACAGGAGGCACTGTCAGGTCCACATTTTCTAGCATCACCAGCTGAAGTTGTCTGCAGGGGAAGATGCTGCCTATGTTTAGTAACTTGACACAGACCCAGCCTCTTACTCATCTAGTCTGGATGAACAGGAGGATGGGTCATGCTACCTGAAGGTGTAGCTCATTTCTTCCTAAGCACCTGATGGATGCTTTTGACCCAATATCCTGCTGGGCTAACAACCAGGGAAGTGCATGGCAAGCGTTTCAGTCAAGTTGATATGATGCCTGTTCTGGCCTTGCAGCATAGATGTTGTCCTCAGCTTTAGGTTGCTTTGGTCCT